AAAGACAAGCACGAGTGGACACACAATGAGCTATAGGGATAAGAAAAGTGAATAGAAGGAGGATATAGGCAGAGACTGACATTGATGGGAGTAGACAGAGGTATTCCACTGCCACACAGTTTGTTTATGTATTCAGTGCAGAAGACAGGGTGCAATCAAAGCTAAGCTTTAGTGAAGCTGCAGCGGAGATCTGAGGATGAAAAGATATTTGGATAGATGCACCATCTCCGCTGTGAACCTTATCATCACTGAGACTTTACTTCAAACTTGGATTAAGCAAAGATCAATGTACTTATTATCAGACTACCAAGTCCACAAAGCAAACAGTCTGCATTCAGAGGAAGGTTTCTGCTATACCAAGTTAGCTTCAAAATAGTATGGCATTGACACCAACCATATGATGGCACAGTTCACTTGGTCTCCAATATTCCTTCTCTTTATATTCAATATTATTGAACATTTCTCTGACAAAAATGCCTTGAGCAATGACCATATTAAATGTGTGCCTCACTGCCACTCTATAACATTTAACCAAGTCACTAATAATTAACCGATGCATCCCAGAGACCGAGCTGAACGAAACCAACTCTCTCCACAAGAATGCTCGTTGGTTTGCACCTTCTTAAAGTGAGACCTCTTTGTCGCTGGTTGTTTATACGCGGATTACTAACTGGGACTTGTGGTTCGAGGCAGATTGTAAAAGAAAGGACTCCTTTTTTCCACAGGATTTCAAGCGATGACAAACACACACTTTGGAGCAGGCTAAAACATGTCCGCGAGAATGCCACTCATTCCATGCAAACAAACTGAATGAATTGCCAGAAGTAATGACAGCCAAAGGGCTCCAAAACCATCTCCAATCCTTTTCTGGTCCCAAAGGTTTCAAAAGTGAGCAACCTCTGAGTAAGCTTTAACTTGTTGTTACATGCAAGCCTATACTTTAACTTTACATCTGTTACCTCGAGTGGCAACAAGTCAAAGAACACTGGCCTCTCTTTGCTCTGAAATCTCCACGGCCTTTTATCTTCCTGTGGCTTACCAGGGTTTTTCGGTGCTTAATTCCAAAATAATTGTAGCACGCCACAGGGGGGCTACTTTGAACGCCAGGGTCAAAGAAACAGATATTAAAAATAAGGAAATGGTCATGCGTGAAGTTATACAATGAGACTGACAATGTGTGTTAGTGGATGGTACCTTGAACTCTGCTAATGCTTGTCATTGTAATTCTCTGTGTTTAATTGAATACTTTGATTGTTGACGTTTCTTTACCGCTGCCCCCGTATAGCTATTAGATAATGTCACGGATATTTCTCATGGTCAATCAGTCAAGGACACCGTGAAACCTCAATTACAAGACAAGACTTAAGATCCTAGCTGTATTGTTTAAATTCAACTACACGAGAAAGTCAGCTGAACCAATGTCTGCAGTGTGATTTGGGTTCTGCAGAATAATGATTTATTGCTTCATTGTCTCACTGTTCTACACTAAAAATATGTCCAATAGTTCTAGCATGCGCCTCCTGTACTGGCGACCCCGCTCCCATCTCTGTGTGGAGTGAGAGACAAATGCCCAAAATTATAAATAAAGATTACTTACTTACTTACTTACTTCTATCATTTTACCACACGATGGAGTCAGGAGCAATGCCACCAAATGTGTTTAGTCCAAGATTTCTCTATGATGTTATGATGAGGTCCCGTCATTGAAGTGAATACCTCAGGCATTCTCAAAATACACATAACGTCTGCTTTAAGCCTGTGCTTTGGGGGTCGATGGTTATCTGAACTACAACTTCCCTAAGGTGGGATACGCCCAAAGCAGCGACGACCCGGTCAAAGGGTCAAGAAAGCTATGTACAGTTAGATCTATACACCCTAAAAAAAACACTGTTAATAATATCACTATTTCTACAGTTTGATGGTTCCTATTCTGACATTTTATTATAAGGATATTCTAATGTATTGACATTTTGAAACAGTTATAGTGCAAATTACAAAGCATGAGGTTAATTAAAAAAAATCTACAAACAATCTGCAATAAAACATGCAAAATGGGGTTGAGCAGCAGGTTAGGGCCCAAAAGCTTTACAGTAAATATATCAAATCCCTTGGACAAATATTGCATTGGATTGTAATACTACTTGTTAGTAACTTTTAGAATCATGTATTTACAGTATTTGTGTGCATGAATGGATGTGTTTCTGTTTCTGTACACCTGAATTTCTCCTACAGGGATCAATAAAGTAAATATATATCTATTAAATGCTCTGTATATGTAAGCCTATATATCCAGGTATATATCATATCAGCAAACTCTAAAAGACACCCAGCCCAAAATTGTATAATGAAAGACACTTTTTGGAGTCTACTCTAATCTAATCTCATCAAAATGACATCCATTCAGGAATCTTAAAGACTACCCTATATTTACTACCTGTCTCCACATGGCTCTCCTTTGACAAACAGCCATAAACCAAAGCTTCCTCTCTTGATTAGACAAAGCAGTGGTCTCCCAGGAGTGTACGATAGCCACATTAACCTCAGCGTCTGGGTCAGCAGGTCAGTGTGGGCACAAGCATGCCAAGCCCCTCCGGACGCCGGGCTGGGTTGCTATAGGCGCTACATGTCACAACACTTGAGTAATGTACGGTGAATTGAGAAGGATTGAGAGCATTAACACATGTAGTCTTTAGGGCCACGTTGACAGAGCTCCAAGTTACAAGCGTGCGACCAGCTATGTGGACCTGTGTCAAAGAAATCCCACTGAGAGGGATATTATTAGGCACAACTATGCTTGGGAGCGACAAGATTCCAACTCTAAAGCACTGGGGAGTACAGTGGCTTTCATGTTCACCATCTCAGGAGAACACACATTCCTTCTCAGAGATTTCAGATGGAAGACATTTGTGGAACCAGTGATGGCCAACACACTGCAAAAAGTGATGAAAAAAAGTCAAAATGGCTAAAATTTGGCACAATTTTCATTACCTTAAAAGAAGATTTAATCTAATCTTGGGACTAGCAAACTTATTTTACAAAGATACAAGAAATGTCTCCCATGGAATGAGAAAATCCAGCAACAGTTCTTGGAATTAAGACTAAATAGCTAAATTGGCAAATCTGGTTTTAAGACAGTCAGGATGTACTCAATTTAAGATTAAAACCACTCTTTTCAAGCTATAATTACCACATTTTATTTTGTTTTGCATTGGAGATGTCTAATTTAGCTCCTATAAGTGAAACAGTTATATACAATGTACAGTTATGTATCTAGAGTTCGTTTGTGGGGACACTATACAGGCACATACTGGTCCACCACAGACATCTGATCACACGTCGTGAGGTCAATGAGATTATTCATTGACCTCACGACCTATTACCACTCTTGAGGAGCACAGGGACTGGCCTCCTGTTGGTGCCCAGACTCAGGACTGAACATGGGGAGGCGGCCTTTCCAATGTATGTAGCTAAAATCTGGAACAGTCATCCAGAAAATGACAATGTTCAAATCCTGGTTAAAAACAGTTCTGTTTAGCTGTGCATACAACAGAAGGATTGTGTCTTCACTCTCTGTTATGTACTGTGACTATATATGATTTTAATGTTATTTTCTTGTTTTGTTAAGCTCTTTGATTTGCCTTGTGTATGGACTGATCTATACAAATAAACTTGCCGTGCCTTGCCTTGCCTACGTCTCTAGAGCCTTCTTCGAGCCCATACCACCACACCATATACTTCCTGACTCCCACAGCTGTCTGTTCAATGCGACTTGTGGCGTCCCAAGTTCCGACTCATCCATATCAATTACACATCAGTATTTTGGCACCTGTTCCACGGATTCATCAGGGCAGACATCACAACAACTGCCTCAGACTCAAAGCTACAAAGAGCAGAGCAAAGTGGAGCCAGTGGATGGAGAATGAAAAAAAAAAAAAAAGGGCAGAGGAGAAATGAGGGTGTTGCCCGGCACCCAACCCCGCCCTGAGGGTCCTACTGCTCCACACAGACACACTTTACAGAGAGCTGCGAGGGTCTAAATCAAATATTCCACATGAATGATAGAAGCCAGGGCACACAAGGCATCAATCTGTGACTTCCAATTTGAATAGTTTGTAGAAAAGGGTTCACACAGAATAAGTATGACTGAGGATTAAAGTGTATGCAGATAAATCAGCTTTGAAACTTATAAGAAGAGGAAAAGGGGAGAACACAGATATTTTTGCTTTTTTAATTAGGATAAAACTTCGAATATTGAGCCTGTATTCACTTTTACATCTGGTTTTCTTGAAAAATGTGCAAAAATAGATTCTACAGTTTGTCAAAAAATGGTCTTCCACTAGTTGCAATCTTCAACATGTTTTCTTATAAGCAAAGCATTAGAAAGGATTTGCTTAAGAAGGGATGCCACTTTTTTTTTTTTTAACAGCACAAACATATGTCTGGCTTTTCAAATAACTACTTGGTGAAGGGAAATGTAAGCTCTTCAAATAAATATGCTTCTACCTTATCTGTTTTTTCTTTTTTTTTGTGTGCAAAATCAACTATTCAAGTATTGCACTTGATTGTACGTACAGGTGTCCACTGACGTCTTTAGATAAATAAATAGAAAAAATAGAGACAGGGGGGGACTTCAACCAAAACAAATTTAACAAGCACTATCCACGTGGGGATTTATGACATTCTAACGCATATATGAGTTACTTTTCTTTCTCATTTTCGCCAAGAATGAATTTTATCAGCAGCAGCAGCAACAGCAACAGCACGTATACGCGCAAGGCTGCAGGGAACGCAAAGTAAAGTGCGTGCGTGGAGGCAGTGCGACGAGTTGGAACAGGTCTTCCAGAATAAAGTAGCGGGACCTCTCTCAAAGTGCACAAACCTCAGCCTGGAGCCACACATAACTAAAGCCACAAAAACAAGTCACCAGAAGCGCTCACAGCCTGGATCAACAGTTCCCAGGGCGATGTGTTGAGTCTTGGCTGGAATGAAAAGCTTCTTACCTTGGAGTGCCAAAAGCAGCAAGGTGCACGGAAGAAACGCGCGTCCGAATGTTATCCCGGCGTCCATGGCTTCGATCCCAACTTTTATACCCGCAGAAAAAGTGAGCGTGGAGGCAGAATGTGAAGTGAAGCAGCAGCAGTAGAAGCAGCAGTAGTAGTAGTAGTAGTAGTGGGTTGCGTCTTTCTTCCTTTCTAAGCTCCCAAACCTGCGCAGACCTCTCCTTCTCTCCTCTCACGCACACACACACTAGAAATCTGACGCTACTGGTAAGTCCTCCTCTTGGTTTGATATATTTGCACAAAGGTGACCCCCCTCCCCTCCCCATACGCAGTACAGCCCCTCCTCTCCCTCCTCTCCCTCCTCTCCCTTCTCTCCTCTCTCTCTCCCGCTCATTCAAAGACCTGCCCCAGTGCGCTCCCGTGCCCCCGCAGGATTTCCTCCAAGGAAGTTAAAAGTGATTTTATCATGAGCCTCTATGAATCATACTGTAGTAACCCTAATATGTTCGCCCTGAGTCAAAATAACTGAAATATTTATTAGCTAAGAGGAATATGCAGCTAAAAGTCAAAGATAAGCCAGCAGCGAGAAAGCAAGGATTACACTGTCACATTGAGCAACAGATTTAGCCTTTTGGACAAATTAGAGATGAAATAAAAGTGGATTTGTTTAACTCTGGAACTATTTTATGGCAGACTTTGGGTTATATTAGTGCGACGTCTACAAACAGAAGTTTATGACAAAGAAACAGCTCAAAAAGGCTTAAACTAGAACTCCCAGAGCAGTCAATTTGACGGCTTTTAGTTTTGTACATTTTGGGTTCTCCTAAATTTGTGACCTTTTCTGTATCTGTGTCTATATTTTTTTGTGTTTTTCCCTCTGAAATAGATATTTATTGGTCTTTTTTATGTGAGTACTTCATAGCAGTCATATTGACTCCTCCATTCTGTTTACAGTAACATTGGTTTCTCATGCTCGTTACCATAGCAACACACTGTTTACAGTCAGCAGTAGGCATTTGGTGGCCTTTCAACAGTTGCACTTAATAAATGTGAGTAAAAAATACCTTACAAAGCTTTTATTGATTTGATTGGGAGCAGTTAAAATGACTGCTCTTGGACTTCTAGTGTTAATATTAAAACATGTGGATGGAATATGACATTCATTTTAGGGCAACATTCCACATCTAGTCTTAAAAACATAGCTCACACATCTTGAACAAAAAACATGTTTTGCACAAACCAAAATATATTCTGTAAATACGAATGTTTGAATTCATGAATAATTCATGTTCTTATGATCATGTTCCAGAGTCACAGCAACGTTTTATTTGTATTTATGTTTTTATTTTGTTTCAAATTTGAACTGTACGTGCCATTTGGATCGTTGGTCGAAGTCACGCATGTTAAGAGATTGAAAAAATGACAAATAAATTCTGACAAAAACAAATTACAGGAATACATTTCAGCACCAGTGCAAGTTGTTTGCTGCCATTTATATTATGCAAATAAATATCACATTTCTTATTCCAATTCTAGACACAGCCAGCCAAAATAATAACTTCTTAAACCATGAAGCTGGCACAACTCCACCCACATCTAAATTCCATTTCTTCTGGGGACCAATTTCCTGTTCGACTTTATTATACTCTTTTCTTGACTTATGTATGACTCCTGTCTTTTCCCCCTCATTTTTCTGACCGGGGGCTGTTCTTTGGGAGTGGACTGTAGCTGTCTGTCACCGAAACACATACCACTCATTCCTAGACATGTAATCCCGGCGAAATCTGTAGGATATTTCCAGTCTCCCAGTACTGGTTATTGGGAGTATTTATAGTTATGATTATGGGATAAGCTGCTTAGACTGGCCGGTGTTTACAAGTAGTAGTCAGCAAATATAGCATAGGCTCAATATTGGAAAGCAGATGTTTTTCAAGGACAACTAAAGTAAATATATATGTTCTTATCTGCACAGGTGTAGGAGACATCTGAGACATGCCCGGCAGGTACCAGTGGTAAAGACACATTCCACAAGTCCCAAATATCAGGTTAATATATTTTTTAGCTGTGTTTGCTGAGGTGAAACAAAATGGTTGACACATAAAACTAGCTAAAGGCTTGATTTTTTTGGTAAAGGCGCACATTTTGTTCTATTTGTCATGTCTTATTGTGAGTGGGCCTGAATGGAGAAACATAGATACTATATATGGCTTAATGGTACAACACCTTATAGTTGATTGTAATGTTTGTGTTCTTCAAATAAAGGTTGATTGATTGATAATATGTTGGAAGATTAGAATTAAAAGTTGGTGGTAGACCTTCATTCAAAAAAGTTGCATAAAAGACAATTTTAAGGAGAAACAGACCACATTTAAGCCAAGTTACTAATTTCTATAAGCTGCAACTTCTTTCAAGAAGTTCAAAATCCGTGGCCTATACAGCGATGCGGCAAATGTATATATTTGTACTTTGTTATAGGAGTTGGTGTGTAGGAGGGGGAGAGCTGATGACGAAACAGACATTCCTAATTCAGTGTGTTTATGTGAATAGCAGAGAGACGAAATGAGGGAGGGCTATGACATACACAGGACTTGTTATTTTTATGTGATTAGGGCTAATGTCGGAGCACTTATCAATTAGACTCCATCTAGTTTTGGAAGGAATGTTATAGTCAAAAGTAGATTGGAATTACCAAAGTGCTTTAATCAACACAAGCTAACAGTGCATTTAAAAATATAAATGTTGTCTCCAGTTAAATCAGTCACTTATATCCTGCACAGACTAAACATGTTGTACACTTCTGTCTTTTTGCACATCTGAGTGTTTCTATCCAGGTCAAGTGTGACGTGTTAATTTCTTATCTTATCAACTTTGCTGTGCTTCATCAGCTGTTGGTTCAGTGTTACATTAGTACATGAAAACCTGTGGCCTGAATGTGGACAATAATTCCATAGTAGTAACTGAGCATGCAGGTGTAATGTACACAGGTGTGTTTCCTAGTTCAGCAAGATCTACAAATATACAGTACAGTGTGGACAAACTTACTGTGATTCTCTGGAGCTTATTGATTTGTTTATTTTTATGTATTTCATCAGGCAGGACTTTGAAAACTTTGTGTTTATGAAATGTGATATAAAGATTGGATTGGTAACTCATTTGTTGAGTGTGTCAAATCACCTTTAAAAAACTCCAATCAAATCCCTAGTCCCTAATATGCCTTTGTTTTAGTTGATGGATTTCACATTGTCAATTTGTCCTGTTTTATTTCTGCAATTTTAACCTTGTTTTTTCATGTACTTGTCTTGTTCACACTAGGGACTTTTAGAAGAAGAAGAAGAAAGTCCTGTATTCGTCCCACAATGGGGAAATTTCAGTTTTTGATGCATATACATACACATGGCATACGCATACATGTCAAGGCAAGCAGCAAACATCACTTTCGCGCTCCTTATAGGCAAAGATGGTTAAGTGTCTTGCCCAAGGACACAACGGCAGCAGACATCAGTGGAGTTTCTCATAGGTCTCACTGAGCCACTGTTTGCGGATGTATTCCTATGTGGTTTTACTGCAAATGGCAAATAAATGAATCTGAATCTGATCTGAATTCATGAACGTGTTGCAGTAGCATTACAGGGATATTGCGCCAACCTCTCACAAACAAAAAGACAAGGATTCTTCCACAATTACTGCAATACTGCGATACCACGGTCATGATTGTGCTCCTGACTCCTCTTTGTGACCGCAACATTATTCATGGCCCCTTCCTGGAGCCCGTGGTGGTTGGACCAGATTCCTTCTCCAGTCGTGTAGGTGGCATTCTTCCCAGTGTCCAGTCAGTCTCCAAACGCTCAGAGCACAAAGCCAAATCTATGCCCACTTACGCTGACTGTGTGTATGAGAGGCCCTGTGTCATCCGTGTCTAAGCAGCCCAATGACGAATCCTTGTTTTACCGCCACAGTTGTTCTTATTGATCTGTTTTTGACAGTGAGAGACTCCCTCGTATACTGTTACAGTGCAGCGGACGGGTGGATATAGCTTCATCAAATACTGCATTGTGACTCACTGTATCGACAGCTCGGAAACAACTATGTAATCATTTGCAAAGTGGCCAAAAAATTAAACGCAACGGAATGAATGAGAGCGGATCCAGCGAGCGTAGAGAAAGGCTGAAGACCCGCGGCAATTATCAATCAATCATTGTACTAAAAATATTCACTAATCCTTGCCTGAATTTCTGGATTGAAGAGGTCAGGGCCATTCTAACACATGATGATGTTATCATTCCATTATATTAAAATAGATTGTAATTAGTATGTTTAGGGAAATTGTTTTCAAAGATTGTGCTGTATTCCTCTCTATCCAACTTCCCATCAAGTTTTCAACTGCTCATAGCGTTAGCATTTAGGCCAAAAAGTTAGTAGCCCTAATCCTAACCCAGAATAGATGTAATAATGCTGAGATTTGTCATCAGGAAACTTCTTTAAAGCAACTGGTCGGTCAGAGAAAAAGGGCTTTGAGTACTTTTGCAAGCCCCACTTTGCTGTTTATCATTTTGCTTTCATATCACATTTGAAAATACTTATAACGTCAAGGGTCATGGCTTGTTCACAATCATCATGAGAGAAAAATCATGCAAAACGGGCTTGGGATGACCGTTTGGAGGGTATTTAAGAGTCAAGTTGTCTGTGAGAATGTTAAATTTTGAATATTTCATATAATTGTTATCAGTGTTCTGCACCAAACCACAAACCTAAAATTGAATTGGACATCAAGTGTTATTAACTTCAACAAATTCATACAATATTAAGACAGGCAGGGACAAGAACAAGAGAAGCACTTCCACAGAGGCACACGCTGAAAGAGATGAAAGTCTGGCCTTAGCTCAACTTTGATTCAGCTTTAACCCCCTTTACACCTCCTGCCGCTCTTCCTTCTTTACTTACATTTTACCAGGACTCCCTCGGGCGACCGGTTACCCATTCCCCGACTTTGGAATTAAACTTCTGCCCCCCTCCTTCACCCGCTGTAATCTGGGCTGCTGATTATTCTTTCATTGCACGACCCCTGTTTCTCTTTGTAGTGTCTGGATGTCTCTGTTCCGCTTCGTGTTAGGCTGACATGTCAAATATACATGTCAGGTGTAGGGCTCCCTTTTTGGTGTCTACACAGAAGACAGAAGAGGTGGTTGTTCTCGGTTTTTTATATGTTTGAGAAATTGCCCGTGGCTGACTTTTGATTGTATTGGTACAGAAGAAACAACAGGGCGCAGAATCAGCATATTTGTCAAGTCTCATTTTTTGAATTTCTCTATTCTTGAAGGTTTGATGTGCGGAGGATTGTATTTTTTTATGGGTGTTTGTGGCTAAAACAGGGTTATACCGTGCACAGATTTTGTTATTGTATTTTTTGTGAGAAAATCTGTAGAGCTCTTTAGAAGCAGTGGACTAACCATAGTGTTTTTGTTTTTTTGGAAGAAGCCGATTAGAGCTAATTTTGAACGGGCACCATGAGCAGGAATATGGATCCAAATGAGGTGGGAAGCAACAGCCTAGCAACCAAAGAGCCAATCAGAAGCGCGGCTGCTCAGTTTTGCAAAGTCAAAAACAACAGAGGGCCCAAAAAAAAAAAATCATCAGGCTCTCAGACAAAAACAAACTTCCTTCAAAGAGAAAAGACATGTCCTGAACACTAAATAAATAATACAATATTTTCGTATGGCTCTGTGCGGCCGGGTCTAATACTAATCAATTATCGTCACGGGGGCCAAGATGATTCATTTGCCGGCCGGATCTAGCCCTTGGGCCTTGACTTCGACACCCATGCTCTCGATCGACCAGTAAATTGTCCCCACTTCTGTATAGTCATGAGCTTTAAGTAATGACCTAAAGGACAAGATTGTGGATACAGTTTCCTCTTCCCCTTTGAGATAAGGGGAATAACTCTGTGAGGAGCCTGGAGTTCAGCCGCTGTTCCTCTGTGTTGAGAGGAGCCACTGGGGCATCGGTTTCCCGGATGCAGAGCCATAAGAAAACACTGTATTATTAATTTAATGGTCAGGACATGTGTTTTCTCTTTGAAGGTAGTTTGTTTTTGTCTGTGAAATATCAGATTATTAATTTAATCATTAAATAAGATACAGTACACAGTCTTGGTTCAACTGGTTATGAGCAATCATTTTAATATGTTTTAAATATTGAACCAGTCCGGCCCTGGGCTTGTAGGAAATTTGTTTTTTGGCCCTTTGATGTCTTTGACTTTGACATCGCTGATCCAGAGCTTTGGCTTTCAGCTCAGCTCCCCAATGATTACATATTCAGATAATTATAAATGATTTTAACTATGATGAAGACATACCTCAAATACAAAATTCAAGACCAGCATTACAGCCCATTTTTGCATCAACGTCTTCACAAGGATTGAGCAGCACCCACAGCTGTGAAGAGACAACACCAGTTTTCGATTATAGCTTTTTGCACTGTTGACCAGACTTGAAACCAGACTGATCCTTGTCACTCTTTAAGCTAAGTACAAGGCCCTGCTACAATAACAGTACAGTAGGCCTTTGAGCCGGTGGATTAGGTCAAAACACAGTGTCTGCTCTGCTGCGGTGAAACCTTTACTTTGTCCGGCTCAGACCTCACACCAGACGACACGTACAAATCCCATCGTTTTACACCAGCAAAATCCCGACACACACTTGAATGCGAATATGGCAGCTTTTTACTGCAACCTTGGATTCACTTCTATCCCTGCCCCCTTTTTCTCCTTGCATCTCCCCCCTCCACCTCCATTAACTAATGAGCCAATATCATAAATCACCGCGGAGTAACTGTATGGGTGACTAAAATGGCTTACGTAAGAATGTCCGGCGAACGCTTGGCTCAATCGCTTTTAGCTCTGCGGCACGGATGGGGGGACTTATGTAAGGCAGCAGGGGTTTTCGGTTCACTGCGGGTATGCTAGGAGCTGAACTGGTGGATGTGGGAGATGATTAGTCGATATTGGAGATGAGAGGAGCTATTGATGCCGCAGACACAAGTGAAGGCAAACCCCCAGTGCTGCAGTGATCACAGGCGGGAGAAGAGGAGATGCGAAAGTGTAACAGTAAACTCCATGAGTCAGGGCCATCAAAGTCTGGAACATGCTGAAACAAAGATGAGGCTATGTTTTCAAAAGGCCAGTTTAAGTGAGCCTATTCTGTCATGCATGGAATTGAATGTAGTGTAATATCATACAGGTTAGAGCTTCATGGGGCTCCTATGAGTATGAGGTTTATGGAGACTGGAGCACAATTGTGGGGATCTAAATCCCTTGTGTTATCATTTTTATTATTATTTCAAATGTGTTTGTTTTAAGATTAAGAGGTTCTTTATTCTTCCCACCGTGTGGCATCCCAATTTACAGAACAGTAGGAATGAGGAGCACACAACAAAAGATAATTAAATATTAGGTATAGCTTTAGCTCTATTATACTGCGCACACACACACACACACACACACTTGGGTCTAATGTAATACATTTCTTATATTTTTTGGAAATATAAAAATCATACAATTTTTACTTTATTGAGACAAACATGTAGGCCATCTGAGATGCAGCCGGATTGCAGGTTCGCTTTGCTTCTAAACTCATTTCAAACACACAAACAGAGGAGAGGTTAGCCATGCTTCTAAACTCATTTTAAACTCAAGAAGTGGTTAGCTCTGCTTCTGAACTCATTTTAAACTCAAGAAGTGATTCTGCTTCTAAATTAATCTCGAACACATAAAGAAAGAAGTGCTTAGCTCTGCCTCTACGTTCAAAAGTTTGAAATTACATGTTCCTATGACAACCGCTGCCGTGGTGATGCATGATGTCATAACATTCTACAGAACATTCCACAGAACATCCTTTACTTAGGACTTAAGCTGAGGTGTCACTGGAGTCGGGTTGAGGAGTCCCTGGACTCGGGCTGTATAGACCCAGGCATGCGGCTGTATACACCCAGGAATGCGGCTGTATAGACCCAGGACTGCAGCTGTATAGACCCAGGACTCGGGCTGAGGAGACCCAGGACTGCGCTGTAGACCCAGGACTGCGGCTATAGACCCAGGACTGCGGCTATAGACCCAGGACTGCGCTGTAGACCCAGGGCTGCGGCTGTAGACCAAGAGCTGCGGCTATAGACCCAGGGCTGCGGCTATAGACCCAGGACTCGGGCTGAGGAGTCCCAAGACTCGGGCTGAGGAGTCCCAGGACTCGGGCTGAGGAGACCCAGGACTGCGGCTGAATAGACCCAGGACTGAGGCTGTATAGACCCAGGACTGCGGCTGTATAGACCCAAAACTGCGGCTATAGCCCCAGGACTCGGGCTGAGGAGTCCCAGGATTCGGGCTGAGGAGTCCCAGGACTCGGGCTAAGGCGTCGCAGGACTCGGGCTGAGGAGTCCCAGGGATCGGACTGAGGAGACCCAGGACTCGGGCTGAGGAGACCCAGGACTCGGTCTGAGGAGACCCAGGACTGCGAGTGTATAGACCCAGGACTGAGGCTGTAGACCCAGGACTGCGGCTGTAGACCCAGGACTGTGGCTATAGACCCAGGACTGCGGCTATAGACCCAGGACTCGGGCTGAAGAGACCCAGGACTCGGGCTGAGGAGACCCATGACTTGGGCTGAGGAAACCCAGGACTCGGGCTGAAGAGACACAGGACTCAGGCTGAGGAGACCCAGGACTCGGGCTGAGGAGTCCCAGGACTCGGGCTGAGGAGTCCCAGGACTTGGCATAGGAGACCTAGGACTGCGGCTGTATAGACCCAGGACTGCGGCTGTAGACCCAGGACTGCGGCTGTAGACCCAGGACTGCGGTTATAGACCCAGAAATGCGGCTGTAGACCCAGGACTGCGGCTGTAGACCCAGGACTGCGGCTGTAGACCCAGGACTGCGGCTGTAGACCCAGGACTGGGGCTGAGGAGACCCAGGACTCGGGCTGAGGAATCCCAGGACTTGGGCTGAGGAGTCCCAGGACTGCGGCTGAATAGACCCAGGACTGCGGCTGTATAGACCCAGGACTGCGGCGGAGGAGACCCAGGACTGCGGCTATAGACCCAGGACTGCAGCTGTAGACCCAGGACTGCGACTGTAGACCCAGGACTGCGGCTATAGACCCAGGACTCGGGCTGAGGAGTCCCAGGACTTGGGCTGAGGAGACCCAGGACTCGGGCTGAGGAATCCCAGGACTCGGGCTGAGGAGTCCCAGGACTCGGGCTGAGGAGACCCAGGACTCGGGCTGAGGAATCCCAGGACTCGGGCTGAGGAGTCCCAGGACTCGGGCTGAGGAGACCCAGGACTCGGGCTTAGGAGACCCAGGACTCGGGCTTAGGAGACCCAGGACTCGGGCTGAAGAGACCCAGGACTCGGGCTGAGGAGTCCGAGGACTCGGGCTGAGGAGTCCCAGGACTTGGGCTGAGGAGTCCCAGGACTCGGGCTGAGGAGTCCCAGGACTCGGGCTGAGGAGACCCAGGACTGCGGCTATAGACCCAGGACTCGGGTTGAGGAGTCCCAGGACACGGGCTGAGGAGTCCCAGGACTTGGGCTGAGGAGTCCCAGGACTGCGGCTGAATAGACCCAGGACTGCGGCTGTATAGACCCAGGACTCGGGCTGAGGAGACCCAGGACTCGGGCTTAGGAGACCCAGGACTCGGGCTGAAGAGACCCAGGACTCGGGCTGAGGAGTCCCAGAACTCGGGCTGAGGAGTCCCAGGACTCGGGCTGAGGAGTCCCAGGACTTGGGCTGAGGAGTCCCAGGACTCGAGCTGAGGAGTCCCAGGACTCGGGCTGAGGAGACCCAGGACTGCGGCTATAGACCCAGGACTCCGGCTATAGACCCAGGACTGAGGCTGTAGACCTAGGACTGCGGCTGTAGACCCAGGACTGCGGCTATAGACCCAGGACTGCGGCTGTAGACCCAGGACTGCGGCTATTGACCCAGGACTCAGGCTGAGGAGTCCCAGGACTTGGGCTGAGGAGTCCCAGGACTCGGGCTGAGGAGTCCCAGGACTGCG